GGAAATGCTCATAAATCTCTTTAAATGTGCATACACTTGTTCTCTAGTGTTTGAGTATCTCTCCTCTAGAAGAAACCATGCTAAATTATAATTATAATCAGTTAGTGAAGCAAAGAGAGTAGGTTGCATTATTGTATAGCATCTCCTTTCAATGTAAGATTGAATAATGAATCTGATTTTAAGTATTGCAATTTTATAGCATCTGATAAATTGGGGTCTGATCAATACTTGGTTTAAAAATATCTTTAAGTGAAAAGCAAAGTATACATTTCTCCTGAAAATGGAGATAACGAAATCTTAGGCAAACGCCCAACAGAATTCTCAGAAATTACAGTATTTTCCAATTTATTCTCTAACAATTTTCGACAATCTATTATGTAATTCAAATTCCGTGTCAGTAAGATTACTATTGATTTCATCTTGCTCATTCAATAACTTTTTGACGTCTTCGGTACTTAAATTAATAATGTAATCAAAAATACTATCAAACTCATCCTGCAGATTGTTAAATTCAGTTTTTAAAAATTCTAACTCACTAACACTTAAATCTGCTCAGAAAGTTCCTTTTGCAGTTTCGATAAGTAGTATTCTGAGTTTTCTTTTTAGAGAGAACATCTTTCAATTTCGTAGACATTCTCGCTACTCTTATTACTAATAACAAATTATCGCATAAAATTAATTCAGAATTTACTCACTGCAACAGTTTTGATAGCAAACAGAATTTCAAGGGTTACTTACCCCTTTCGATCAGCATCTGACTATAATCTACAAACATAAATTGTCCAGAAACAAAAAAATGGCGGCAAAATCGCCCGTTCTGTAACTTGTTTGTTTACTTAGCCGTTCCGGTTCTACTAGACCATTCAGAATAGTCCGGCTAATTAGTAAAATGTGGACTGTAACTAATTATATTTTATCACTTTATTTCACAAATTTTGTGGAAGACACTCTGACATTCACATCGCAAGTCGAAATAAAAGTAAACATTATAGCCTGCCCTCGTGGCTTTCGATAAGAAGACTGTCATTGGCCCCACATCATAGGCGACAACGTCTGCAATGGTGCCGGGTTCGAGCGATGTGGACGACGGAATGGCATAAAGTCGTGTTCTCAGATGAATCATACTTCTGTTTCTCCAATGATAGTCACCGCATACGACTGGGGCGTCGATGTGGAGACAGGTCCAATCCGGCAGCAACTATGGAACGCCCCATCGCGCTACAACGCGGCGTCATGGTGTTTGGGGCGCAACAGAGGCGCAGCCAGAGTTTTCAGCGCCCGAGGACAACTGAAGATTTTGCGCCCTCATCTGTATGCCAAAAATGGAAAACATTTCATTTTAAAATTTCTTAACATCGATCTGGCGCCACCTGGATACTGGATACTTTCCTGAGTACAGATGTGCCATCCTAGCTACGCCAATGGGGCGCAGTTGCATAAGATTCCAGAACATGTCTAGTTCGTATTCAGGGCACTATGACGTCCGAAGGATATATGGATGATATGCTGAGGCCGGTGATACTCCTACTTTCAGGGAGTGTCCAATGCCCTTTATCAGCAGAATAACGCCGGATCACACACTGCTAGCATCAGCCAACATGCTCTGCAAAGTGTACAGATGCTTCCCTTGCCACCTATCTATCCTGATCTCTCACCAATCGAACAAATTTGGGATGTGATTTGGACGCCATTTGCAGATCCTGCCATTGCTGCGTTCACAAGACGTACTGTAGCAAATGGTTGACAGGAAATGGAGAGCCATTTCTCAGGACACCATCCATAGTATCATTAACTCTGTACCTAGATGCGTAGCTTCGTGTAGCCGAGGTGGTCCTACAACCTACTGAGCTGACGCTGTTTTCTATCTGTATTATGCATATCGTTTCTAAATAAAGATCACTTATTGTTCGTCGCTATCTCTCTCTGTTTACCGAGTTCCTTCATCTTCTGGCCACTAGTTTCTTCATCATTTCGTGTTGCATTTTCAATGTCGGGTAGTGTAATAATAAGAGCAATAAAACACTTTACAGTCACCGCTTTTAACCGGGGTTTTGTTAAAATTATTTGCAACCACTGGCACAACGTTCTCTAGAAAGTTTCCAACCCACTCTTTCCTTACTTTTCTAAGCAAAAAGCAGAATTCTGAGTAATTAGAGGAATTTTCATGGGCTCCCAAAATTTGGAACCCTGAAATTTGGGCTAGATATATTCAACGCTTGATTTCAGCTTGGTAGTAACCAATTCGAAGCAAGCGAAACAGTGTCTTAACGGCTGTAAGATTCCAACTGGGTACCTTTTTCGTTACAGTTAAAATTGAGGAACCTTAAGAACTGATAAGCGAATAATCGCTTGAGTTCGTCAGACAGAGAACAAAACGGAAGAAGGGTTAAATTACCCTTTATTGTTCCAAATACGTTTAACAGATGATTCCTTTCTTGGAGTTACAATAAAGCCTCCACTCGGGCTTGAACTCAGGTAACTAAGAACTTAAACTAATCTTAGCTAAAAAAGATATAGCCGAAGCTATCAAGATTCTAACAGAGTTGGCACCTTAATGCTAACTAACGTCGAAGCTATCAAGGGCCTAAAGTACGAACAAACGTAATACTAGCTTAAGAGAGAGAGTAGCTTAAAAAGGCGAACGCGCGCTAGTCAGAATCCATTGGCTCTCTCTGACGAAATCAGTAGAACTTCACAGTTAAATACTTCTCCTCATTTGAATTCAAACGTGATTCTGAAAATACGCTCTGGCCGGAAGTTATAAGCTGAAATTCAGGAAGATAGGAAAGTAACTTTTGACTAAAATTAGCATGAACCTTATACGGCTTTACTACTGATGGTCCGTTCTGAAATGAAGAATAAAGTTTAAATACTTTTATTTGTTCATTGCTCTTTCTTTCCCCTCAAATCAATTGCAAATTTAGAATTTGGAAAAAAAAATTAAAAGATCAAAATAATGTAATACAAAATGTTCTAGAAACCCTAAAATGCTATTGAAATTACAATGAAAAATATGCTAAAGATTGTTGAAAACTAGGCTGAAATATTGCATCGTATTTTTTATTATTTGAACTGTTTTCTGAATTTTCGTTAACATTAGTGGAAAATAAGATTAATGCTTTTCCCAGAGAAATGTTGAAAAAGGTAGAATTTTTTTACAGTAGCCGATTTTTGTAGATAACAGAAGAGAAGTTTTCTCTAATGTTACGGAGTACAGCAGAAAAGCGTGAAAAAATTGAAGGTAATAAAATGTGTCAGTATAAAATTTAATTAAAAATGCGAAGTATATCTAACTGTATCCAACGAAGAAATTTATTATTTTTTCCTGCGAATAGCTAGACTATGAGAGTTACTGAAAATATGCCAATTTATGTTGCTAACTGAAATTCTTAAATTTCAAATTGGTGAAAGAAATATTTTCACTAGGGTAGGGCACGATCTTAGACCTCTACTTCTCCCCAAATTTGCATAATTATTAAAGACCTTAAAATGGGATGTGTTTGTAAATTTCTACACCACACAAAAATAAGTAAGAAAATCGATGCAGAAATTCTGGTGTATACTCCTTTTGCTGTAGTTTTCAGTAGCGTGGTTGATGAGGCTTAGACGTCTATAGTTCAAATTCAGTTGTCAGCAGCTATCTGGATTCTCTCTGTCTGCTTAATCTCTTCCTGCTGTCTTGTCAGTTCTTAATTTATTTTATTTTGAAAGAAAATTTATTTGTGAAAAATATTTTTAAGGAATAACTCGAGAAGGAAGTTTTATGATTTTTTTTTTCGCTTCTGTGATTTGAACAGCTCTGCTAAGCAATAGTTTTTTTTTTTAAATTCTTTAGTTACGGAATTTCTACCTAGCATTCTGTGCCTCAAAATGCGCCTCGAGATACAATTTGTTTTCACTGACACGTCATTGTCAGCACCAACGTTCCTTTAAACTGTATTTATTTCAATCTTCTATTTTATGAGCACGTCTTTTGAGCATCGTACGATGATAATTTACAATAAATTATTTTATCTTCCTTGATTTTTAGCAAGCAATACATAGGCGACATTAAAAACTCTATAACTAACTAACAACGAAATTTCGTTAGTTACTTTGTGTGAAACATAAAAATACATTGGAGGAAAATGTAATGCATTCGAACGTTCTTGAAGGTAAAAAGATATGTTAGAGAGAATTTTACGGATGTTAATAAAATGTGCTTTCTCTTCAAATTAAAAAAAAATCAGAAAAAATTTGATTGCCTTTAAGCCGTCATTTTTTTTCAATGCGCCTGAAGCCTGTATTTTATAATTTGCAAGTTCTTGTAGCAAATATCAGTAGTCAATTTTAAATAAGATTTTGGAAAGAAAAGTGATGTGAACAAATTACCTTTCTTCCACAATTTTGGTATTACATAATCTTTTGAGATATTCTTTTAAAAATATGCACCATGAATAAATTTAATTCCAGATAACGTAACTTTACTAGAAGTAATAATCGCAATCAAATAAATAAAACAAAACGTAAAGGTAGTTTTATTTGGACTGATAATTTATCATATGCAGGAAGGCTACAAGGCTTACTCTTGTGGGACTCCTGGTTTCCTCAGATGCAACAACTTTCTTTGTGTCGTCGTTTCTCCCCCTTGTGTAAGTAAGTGACATCAGCATTCGGAAGAGTCTAACGTGTTTGTCTAGTGACTTTGGTCTGCAGCATCTTACATTATCACTCACAATATCTGCGATTACAGCAAATGGAAAAGCGCTTAAATGATGTGAATATTATTTAGAACTTTAGTCTTTATTTTTCTTGCTTACTTGAGAGGTGCTTGTTAAGGGTTTGTAAATGTGTTTATTTTATGGTCCTTTAAAATTATTTAGAATTTCGACGCAATCATTGAGTCCAAGGTATGATCCCGTTGTTAATACCATGTATTGAAATCTAATTATTATTCAATCAGATATTTTTTGAAGTTTGTTGATAATAATGAAACCATTATAATTATTCTTTCAGATCGTATGCAGATGTGCAAAGTACTCATGGAAATCCTGTGGAAGATGATTAGCTAGAGAAGACAATATTTAATAAATATGGCTGCGTCTCCTGCATCCTTGATGCTCTCTGCTTCTCCGACAAATGGGGACACCCATCCCCTCAAGAGTTCTCCTAGTCCTGGAGAAACCAGTCAGGTACCTTCAAAAGAAAAACAATCTTTGGCCTTTTCTATTGCAAAGATTATGGAACCGGGTCCCAAAGAAACCGCCTAATGCATCGGACAAAGGAATTACACCATTGTTGAACGTAATGTTGGAGGACTTCAATAAGAGAATGTCCCTCATAAATCCTCTCATGGTAAATCCACTTCTTACGCTTCCGCCAGTGAGAGGAAGAGACGATATTGATCAAATAGGTATGGGCTTAACTCCAGGCCAGCAAAGGTATCCACCAGTTGATGGTGTTTATGAACTGGCTCTCAAGCGCCTTGTTGAAAACTCGGGAATGCAGGACCTTAGGTGTCACATTAACAACGGCTGTCCTTCTTCCCGTTTTTTACATCAAAGGTCACAAAACCTACTTCGACATTATGGTTTTATGTATGCTTCTTTGCCACCTCAACAGCTGATGCGAAATAATGGCGAATTACTCTGGGAAGATGCTTCTGCACCCGCTAATTTGCATCCTATGGATCCATCAGCCATTCATAAAATCATCCGACCACAACCAGTTTTCGCTACTACACCAGGACCAGGATCTAGGCAAGTTGATGATATTGCTGACACAGAAACTCTCGCTCCTTCACAGATTTTAAATTCCTCCAACACTAGGTTTGTTGGAGACACAAAAGTCGCTTCTGAATCTTCTGGAGACAGTACGAGTCCAGTCAGACAGAAGCGAAATCATAACAAGCAGAAAACATTCACGTGTCCCGAATGTGGGAAAGTTTTCAATGCTCATTACAATTTAACTAGACACATGCCTGTGCATACTGGAGCACGACCCTTTGTATGTAAAGTGTGCGGCAAAGGTTTTCGGCAAGCAAGTACATTATGCCGTCATAAAATTATTCATACCCAGGAGAAGCCTCATAAATGTCACACATGTGGTAAAGCTTTTAACAGAAGTTCTACACTTAACACTCACATACGCATTCATGCCGGTTATAAACCTTGGGTCTGTGAATATTGTGGCAAAGGTTTTCATCAAAAAGGCAACTACAAAAACCACAAGCTGACCCACAGCGGTGAAAAGGCTTATAAGTGTACCGTGTGTAACAAAGCATTTCATCAAGTGTATAATTTAACATTCCATATGCATACGCATAATGATAAAAAGCCTTACACATGCAAAGTGTGTGGCAAGGGGTTTTGTAGAAATTTTGATCTCAAGAAGCATATGAGAAAATTACATGACAATGCTCTTGCATCTTCTAGTGTAGCTCATTCTCACGAAAACAACGCAGGGTCTGCAGTTACAGTGAGTTTGATTAATCCATTTTTTGTATCCCCAAGTACGAGTGGATATATAGAACCTCCAGCTAGAATAATTTTATAATTGTTCATAGTATAATTAATATTATGTATATGCTTTATTTAAAATATTTTTCATTTTGTAATATAAATATATGTCTATCTGTGAAGAGATTTCAAACGACACAGTCATGCAGAAAATCCCTAACTTTAAGAAATTAGAATACTTTAGCAGGAAAAAAATCCAATATGAAATTACTTAAAAACTACTTAATTACTATTAAAAACTACGACATTAATTTTTGTTAAAATAAGATATTGAAATGAATTTTTGGACTATTTTTCATTTAATTTTCAATTCATGAAATAATATTTTCAGCTATCATTTAACATATAAAGCAACAAATACCCTTTAATTATAATATTTTTAATTTATTTTATTGCTTTAAAAATACTTAAAACCAATTCTTCTAGTAACTTACCTTTAAGAGTCTTTTTCTTTTAAATAAAAAAATTGATATGCAGCGCTAAAAATAATTTTAATATTTCTTGATTGATGTAGCACTTCATTTTCAAGCAATTTCCAAAACTGAGAAGTATTAGTATTTAACCATGTATTGTGTTCTTCCGTTCATCTCTCAAAAACTTATTACTTATCCATTTTGATATAATTCAAATAATAATTATAAGATGAGTAAAGAAGTGGTCTCAAACTCAAATTACATGCGGGCTGCAAGCAGCTGGCGGGCCAGATTGTTTTTTAATAAAATTTCAAACTAAATTTCTAATAACAAATTAAATTTTAATGTAATTTCAAATTTCGTTTACGAAATATTTATCAAAACATAATAATAATAACAGTAACACAAAGAGAAAATTCAAATTTATTGCGCTTATTTTCTTACTGTAACAAATTTCTGTTAGGGCCATTTCGTAATTCAAATGAAATAATAGCTAAATATTAAATTTTTGGATTAGCATTTATTTCATGTAGTTCTAATATGTTGCTTTAACCACTAAATAACTTACTGTTAACATAATCTTAAACTAAACAAATTAAAAACTTGGCCAAATTTTTTACAAAAAATTTTCCGAGAACAATAAAACCTGAGAATAAACACCTACCTCTTTCTTTTATGTATTACATTTTTTATCAACACACACAGAAAAAATACTTAATACTGTGTGTGAACAATTATACATTTGTCTATTTTTTACCACAGCTCGATACCTGATGGCGTTTCGACTTTAGTAACATTTGGATCCTTAAAGGAAAATTACAGGAAACTAACTACCTTCATGACAGCTTGTACTAGATGCTCTGGCAAGCGAGCCTTTTCGTTTCACTTGTTAATTTTCAACTACCTAATGACTAATTCATGGAAAGTAAAAGTACCAATACCTTAGGGACAAAGAAACGGACCCCCATAGTCACACGATTTGGCATTCAAGCAAACAAAGTCTGCAATTTTTTCAGTTAATTGGCATCGTAAATCTATCCATTCTATTTCCATTTCATTACTAACGATTGCGCATATAAACACAATCCATATGTTCCTAATGTTGTTTATATTTTAAATTTTCATTTCCTGAGATCAATGATTAATGTGATTTTTTTTTCCTTAGCTTTTTTTTGCAGCGCTGTTATATATGCGTTACATACGACCTTTCGGATGTGCGCCAGCGCTAGCTTCGAATTCAGTCGGAATGTCTGCTATCTTGCAGTTGGAGTGTTGCAACTGCTGAAATGTTTGCTAACTCTTTTTCATTTACTTAATAAAAACTGTATTTTAATTCACTACCTCATGAATTTATGCTTTATCGAAATCTATAAGCACTGTATTAAAACAAATAGATGACTGAAATGTATTGTGGGCCACATAAAATTGCTTCAGTGGCCGCTTATGGCTCGTAGGCCACTAGTTTGAGACCACTGGATTAAAGCATGCTATTTATTCAATATTAAATTAATATCAATTAAAATAGTGTATTTAAATTTAAAGTTCAAACTATTCATTCAAATGTAAGTAAAATATTCAGCGTTTTGTCTATTTATCATACCGAAGGAAATTAATCAGATTCCTTTTATTTAATGTTATGAATATTCTTATTAGGTAAATTAAGTTAAATTTGTAATATGCGGATAATTCAATTTTTCATAGAAGATCTAAAAATCAAATTCTCATATGCTTATTCTGCATGAGTTTCAGAATGCTGTAATTTTGAATATTTCCGAAACGATGTTGCTACTTTAGAAATGACAAGAATGGTTTAAATATGACAATTATTCTATTAAAGCTAAGATTTAATTTATATCTTTCACATAAAAATTAACTTTATTATCGCGACTTTGTAAAAGAAGAAGGGCAGTTAGATATCTGAAAAAATATAATCTAGAGGTAAGTATAAGTAAACTAAGTAAAAGATAGTACACTAAGAAAGAAAGAAAGGATTACTAGTTGAACTTTTCTGACAACTACTAAAAATATTAACTGACATATATGATTTGCACTATTTAAAAATCTCACAAAAACATCTCACCAGTAGTGCATATTTACTATTAATGTAATGACAAAATACGTGCTTCTTATGACGCAACACAATAAATAAGCAATAATGGACTGTCCTTTGAAGTGAAGCAAAGAGAGTCAGTTTGTAAATATTATATACCCAGTGAAGCCTATGTTATATGTAAAAATATATAAAGATTTCATTAAATGTATCTTATAAATTCTTTAGTGTGTCACACTTTTTTTCGCATACATGCACATTACTTTCACATATTCACATCTCATTTTCGCATATATTCTTATGTCGTAACATTTGTCATATATTCTTTTTTACTTCCTTGTACGAAGTAAAAAGGAAGTATTGTAATCGCGAAACATTTCAGGCAGCATATTTCAACAAAAATATCCATTTTGACCGCTTTCAAATGCAATTTAACGATATTTTTGTATGACATCTGTACGTAAGGGCAGAATAAAAGATTCTTTTCCTCCCCCCCCCAAAAAAAAATATAAAACTGATTTAAAATGAATTCTGAAGAGAATTTTTCGTGGCGTCTGTACGTATCCCGCATAACTCAAAAACGAGTAGTCTCAGAACGTTGAAATTTTGTATATAGGACTGCTATAACATGTAGATGTGCACCTCGTATTTTGGTTGCAATCGGCCGCACGAAACATATAAAAATATATATATATATTCCACTCTGTTACCCGGCTCGGCGATTTCAGTTTCTTAAACTCTTATATGTTTGTAAGTTGTGCATTTTTTGCTTTAAAAATGATTGAATTATGTTGTTCTTACCTTCCAGTCAAGGTTTTTATGCCTTTAGTAAATCTGCGTGCAATATTTGTGGAGTTATCAACAAGTTAAAAGTTGTTTAAGTGCGGCTAAACCTAATTATTTTTGCGATGGCGGCCATGTTTATTTACATTTGAAACTTGGCAGAATAACGGATTTGTTGCCAATATAGAGAAACTAAGCTTCGCAACAACAAAGATACGCCGTCTTTTATTATTGCGAATTAAATTATGCTTAATCCATTCTGGAATTTATTCAAGGAAATAAGTGTTTATGATTTAAATCGTAATTTTCAATGTAGATATTAGGAGTTTTGCCTTGTCGGGAAGTGAGAACAGAATTATTATTGAATGAGAAATACTAAATCGTCTGTGAAAAACTGTTTCTTTTTTGTTTTGTTTGCTTAATTTCTTTTATACATCGTTCTAGATTTGTTGTAGTATTTGAATAGAACATGTGGCAGCGATCAGATAATTCTTCAAATGATATAAATTTATATGCATTCTGAGTTATATTCATTATATGAACGAAATGTAACGCTGTTAAGTGAATCTAGCGCCAAAGTGTCGCTATGATAAACAAATATAGTGAATTTTAGAGAGTGCATTTATTCTATTGTAGTTTATGCGCTATCAACGAAGTAGATTTAATTCAATTCAATAAAGTTTAAATGAAATGCAAGGAAAAATGCATATAATTTAATATTCTGTAGAAGGAAGCCATGTAGTGTACACATCAGATTTTTTGAAGTGCAGCCATACTAGTATTAAAAATGCTTAATATATAGCATTTTGCAGTGCCTTGCTTTGACAGGCACATAGTAATCCAAAAAAACTTATACAAAAAAAAAAAATATATATATATATATATATATATATATATATATATTACATTGTGCAGAGAAAGTTCCTAGCAAGCTTCTTTATGCCTAATGAAAGAAAATGCTTTTCTAAGCTATTTTTCCCCCCCTAACGACCTGAACTCAAAGGTTACATTCCCTGATTAAGGGAAAAAAGAAAAAAAGAACTGATATCTTATAAACATTTGTCAAAATATTTAATGAGCTATGTCAATAACTGTATTAAGCAGTAAAAAGAAACATTAACTTTATTAAAATACAAAGTTAAAAACTTTATTATAAAAGGGATGATATTACTGATATTATTTACATTAAAATCAGTTCAAGCTATTAAATGCACCACACTGATTTCTAATGAAAATAAAGAAATGTAAATAAATTAAAAGAAAGAAGTAATGGGAAAAGTAACTGAAGGAGAGAGCGAGAGAAAAAATATTCTAATAAAAATTTGTCTGATGAAGTCTAAGAGAAAAAAAGCAGAGAACTGTTAGCAAAAGAAAATGAATCTAAAACTAAAAGTCAATTCTAGAAAAGGTCACTATAACTTTTTTTTTTAATAATAATAATAATAAAAAAAAGTAAAAGGAGCCAAATAAAACAAGGCTTTTCAAAACGCCTTGTTTTATTTGTTTTTTTTTCTCTCTTTTTATTTAAATTATTGTTTTAAGTATTGAAATTTATTGGATATATTTTTGCACTTAATTTACACTTATTTTCGTAAACTTTTGCCAAAATTTTCAGTTACTTTTTTAATAAGCTGAAAAATCTTTTAGACATTTTTAAAATTTAAATTTAAGCATAATGTAACAGACAAATCTGTTTTTATAAATCATTATAATAATTTCTCCCTTTCCTAAAAATATTTTAATTCTGCATTCAGTCTTTGCACAGGAAATAAAATCAAACCTTTTGATTTAATTAAAATTTTAAATTCTTTGCAGGTCAAAAGTCTAGAAGTTTAAATTTTCAATATATGTTTATCATGTTACACGGTAAACTACAGAATATTTCAGGTAATATCTTCTAAAAACACGGGAATAAAAATTTTGTATTTAATGCAATTCGCGTATAGTCTGATTGCAAGACTACCAAATAAATAAATGAATAAATAAATCTGAAAAGTTTCAGATTTTAAATTACGTCCAAAGGGGCGTTTTTTTAAACATTTTGTCTGTTACCTTTATTTATTAAATATCACGTTCTTCGCACTTAAATCATAAAATTCAGTTCAAGAGCAATATCGCAAAATAATTTTAAATACAGCATATCTTTAGAATTTCCGATACGCAGTCTCACGCACTGGAGATATAATTTTTTCCTTTTTTTCTTTTTCTTTTTTTTTTTTTTTCTCTACAACGTTGCCATTACTCGCTTTTAAATCCTTGAGTTAATTAATAAAAAATTCTTTAAAGTTTTACAAAATATGAAATCGATAATAAGAAAATTTCAAAATTTCAAATTTGGGCTTCCAGATGCCCATATTCGCAGTAGGTTTACATCATTCAAAATTCGATGACTTTATGTACCGTTGTTTTATCACATTACGAGAAATATACATACATTTATGCAGATTTTTTATTATTTAATTTCTTCAAATATAATGCAGGACTAACATTTGGTGGCAACAGTTTCAAAAGTGAAACGGACGTTTATTGTGAACCAAAGCAAAATCGCAAAACGAAAACAATAGTTCTTCAGGGACAAAGCCCCTTTGGACTAATAACAAATCTAAAAGCCTTCAGATTTTACATTACGCCCAAAGGAGCTTTTTTTAGCGTTTTGTGCGCTATTTTTATTTATTAAATATCATGTTGTTTGCACTTAAACTGTAAAATTCAATTCATCAGCAATATCGCATGAGCATATCTTTAAAATTTCCGATACAGAGTCTCGCGCGCTGGAGATAATTGTTTTTTTTTTTCTCCTTCTTTCGTAGAGTACGCCATTGCTCGCTGTAAAACTGCTAATCAAAAATTCGTTAAAGTGTTACAAAATATGAAATCGATAATAAAACAAAGTTCAAATTCCAAATTCAAGCTTCCAGATGCCCATATTCAGTAGAAGATCACATTATTCAAAATTTGATGGGTCTGTGTACCGTTGTTTTATCACAATGCGAGAAACATACATACATTTATTCAGATTTTTCATTATTTAGTTTCTTTAAATATAATGCAGGATTCTAACATTTGGTGACAACAGTTTGAAACGTGAAACGGACATTTATAGTGAAGCAACGCAAAATGCCAAAAGGAAATTAATAGCCCTGCTGGATTAACGTCCTTTGGGCTAATAAAATAAAAATATTTCTTTAATATTAGTATGTTGGAAAAACACGTTAAATGAACTAAATTACTGTAACCTGCGCAACGAATTCACCGTTCTTTTCACTTAATTGAAACATAAACGTCGAGTTTTGTTTAGATATCCCTGTCTTTAGTAAAATATATTATTTCTGTACCTTATTAGAAACTGCCTTCCGAAGGGAAAGATCAGCGTATAATTTTGTATTTACAATAGCTGTTTTACAAAAAAACACTTTAAATAGAATTGGCACTGGGATTTCATACAACGTTGAAAATCCTAGTTGAATGGGTAAGTTAAAAGTAAAATTGTCAATTTAATCAAGATATCTAATGTTCTCTAACAGTCCATTTTCAAAGCTATGAAAAAAAATGCATAATCATATTTTAAATCTGCAAAGTTAAAGAGTGTTAAAATCCCTGATTGAATTGACAGTTTTATTTCTGTTTGCCATTCTTCCTCTGTAATGACCGTTTGGAGCTAACAAAAGACTGGGAAACCGGTTCTCGTCAGAGTGGTTGTTTTCTCTGTGTCCACCATCTGTCCGAAAAAGCAAAGGAGCCAGCCAATAAGGGTGCATTATCGGATAACAAGGGAAGAGCCGCCTCTTTTGTTGCGGCCAATCTGAAGCAGGGGTGTTCCGGGGGGGGGTTGAAGAGCCACTTAACATAAGTTACAAGAAGGCGGATGTCATCTGCTGCAGACTGCGCCTGAAGCAATAACATTTTCCCGGTGGGTGTCAGGAATTCTGCGGGAAAGAGGGCATTTCTAAGAGCACTTACAAGAGCATTTTTTTTACAGCCACAGCTGAGATCGTGATGTACTGAGAAGACGCAGTCTATCAAAAGAAGGGCAGTAGATTTACGAACATTATGTTATTTGGAATTTTTTGGATGGAAAATTGAGTTTTTAAACGGAAAAAATTATAACTTACTGTAGAGGAAATTTTGCTCTTTCCACCCCCTTACATTATTTTAAGCTTGAAAAAATAGTTTAAGCTTATGTCTTGAAAAATAGTTAAAATTAACACTTCGTTTATGTCTTTTACGTTCAAGAATTTTCGTTAAAAGATTGATTTCTGTTAAAAGATATAACGGATATAATTCCTCATAACTGTGCATTTCTATCTTAACCCTGGAGGACGCGCACTTATTTCTCGTACATGAGGATACGCGGGGGTATATCTTACTCCACCATTAATATAGCCTTTTCTCAAACTATTACTGCTTGAAATTTATTTTGTATAGCTA